GTTTGAGACTCCAACTTTGTGGTTAGCAGTCCAACCCCTAACACACAGTGCCACAAGGGGTTCCGTGGTTGCTGTGGTAGGGAATAATCAATTGGATCTCATGATTCCCAGAAGTGATTGCAGGAGTATTTTGGATGTCATGTACATCTTGATTTTTTTTTGTTTCATCCTGTGATAAATACGTGAAAATGTGTTGCATATTTTATGGTCTCTAAAAGGATACTGCTGCCACTTGTCTGTCAGTTTGTCTTACCGTGGTGGTTTGTGTGTTGCTGTGATGCGGGAAGGTATGCCACTGATATTTCAAATGCCGGCCGGGTCACCCAAAGGGAAGAGCTTCTAGACGAAGAACATATGATGAACAGGCACTCAGTTTCCCACTTCGGGGAAGGAGCCGCTACAAACCGTGCATAGCTTTGAAACACTCAGCTACTGATGGCCTGAAGAACAGAAGCAGGACATTTTCTGAGAGAGCACTGAAGGATGGGCCCCTGGGTCTTAGGGCACTTGAAATGTGACTGAGGGGGAGCTGCTTGCTCAGAGTGGAGTCAGGCCTAGGGACCATTTCGAGATGGTCCAGTCTCTTTCTGTTGTGCATAGGGTCGTTATGGGTCAGAACAGACTCGTTGGCACCGCAATAGGATATTGATGGAGGAAAAAATTGCAGGCAGGAGCATGAGGATGCAGGAGATTTCAGACCAGGCTAGAGAAGAATGTATTTGTGGGAAATCTTTTTGGACAGAGAGTCTTAAACACAATATGCTTTTTGTCCTAGCATTTATTTAACCTGAGAAAATTATAATGGATGGTTGCCAAGATTTAGAATAGCAAAGGATGCCATTTTCACTGTATTTACAACAGTAAGATGAAAACAATATTAGTGCTCAACAATTAAGTACTAAGTGTGAGAGAATAGAGTATCTCCATGGAATTGAATACTTTGCAATCATTAAAAGGATGCTATAGAACAGTGGTTCTCAACCTTCCTAATGCTGCGACCCTTTAATACAGTTCCTCATGTTCTGGTGACACCCCTAACCATAAACCCATTTTCATTGCTACTTCATAACTGTGATTTTGCTACTGTTATGAATCAGGTGACCCCTGTGAAAGGATCATTCGATCCCCAAAGAGGTCACACAAGACCCACAGGTTGAGAACCGCTGCTATAGAAGAATATTCTAAATGGAAAGATGCTCACAAAATGCTCAGCAGTATAAGACGTTTGTTTCAAAGTATGCACAGGGCAGAAAACAGCTGTCTCTAGGCTTGGTGGAATTCCAGGGATACTCACTCTCTTCTCATTGTTCAGCTAACTTTTTGAAGCTTCAACAATTAACCTGTGTCACTTCTGTAACAGGAAAGTAAGTTTAATGGTTTTGGTTTGGTTTCTTGAAAATGAGCAGAGAGCCTTGAAGCTTTTTCATTTAGCACTCCCTCACAGTACAACCTTTCAGAGCCACTGGTCATGTAAATTAAAGCAATTGTAATACAGGGCTTGGAAATTTCATGGTAGTTAGTTAAACAAAGTAATTAAAATCCTGATGGAATTTCACAGAGCTGGTAAAACTTTCACTTAGCTACTCCAAAACAAAGGTATTGTCCATGAATAATCCATACCAACTTCTAGAGATCCTATGGATAGTACAAAATTGCCACACACACCCCCAATTGGATTTCCAAGGCTGGTGGCATAGCCGTTATATATCCGGCTGCTAACTGCAAGGTCAGCTGTTCAAAACCACCAGACGCTCCTCGGAAAGACCGGCTTTCTGCTCCCTTAAAGAGTCTTGTCTTGGAAACTCACCGGGACAGTTCTAACCTGTCTTGCAGGGTTGCTATGAGTCGGCATCAACTCCGTGACAGTGAGTTTTGTTTTCTGTAATCTTTAAGTCAACGAATCGCACATCTCCCTTCCCCGGAGCAGCTGGTGGGCTCAAAACTGTTAGCAGCTCAGTGCTTCACTATACTCACTGTGACGCTGCTGCAGACATCAGACTCCACTTTTTAAAAGGCCTAAAAATCACATAAAATACAAACACCAATTATTCACCTCTTAGGCCATGCTTGTGCTGTGTGAATGTAACAGGAAACGCAGCCTTATCTCCCCCTTCAGTTGGCTGTGCATCTCAGCACAGGCGTGCTTGCTCTCCATTACGGACTGACTTTCCCCGAACTTGAAATGGAGTGGAATTTCCATGTAGAGTTACCCATTAGCTCCAGGGCTAAATTTAAACCTTTAATTAAAGTAATCCACTGATCTAATACACATTGCTTCTCCCTTGGAAAAGTGCTGGGAGGTTTCCCAAGTGTCACGGGGCTTGATTCAAGTGTGTCAGTGGTTCCCCACGGCCTCTGGTAGAGTCACCCAAATGCACCCCCTAAAACTCCTGCACCTGTGTTTTGATGCCCTTGTCCCAGACTGGGCAGGCACTGGTTAGTGTGGAGCTGAGGAGAGGTGGGGGATAGGGTACTGTGCGATTCCTCCCTGATCCGGTGTGGCAGTTATGGAAGGGTCATGGATTCATTCCTTCTAGGCGTCCTCAAACTATGGCCCGCGGGGCACATGCGGCCCGCCGCCGTGGACATTTATCGGCCCGCTGGGTGTTTTTGCCCCCGTTTGTTTTTTTACTTCAAAATAAGAAATGTGCAGTGTGCATAGGAATTTGTTCATAGTTTTTTTTTTTTTAACTACACTCTGGTTCTCCAACGGTCTGAGGGACAGAGAACTGGCCCCCTGTTTAAAAAGTTTGAGGACCCCTGCTTAGGCATCTTTACAGAAGGTATGGTAGGTGTCAAAGGATGTCTATGGTACCAGTGGCAGGAAGTATCTGGTCTTTATGATCCGATCCGGTGAGGAACCCTGGATGTCGATGGATTAAGCACTTGGTACTAATTGTAAAGTCAGCAGTTCAAAGCCACTAACTGCTCCACAGGAGAAAGATGAGGCTTTCTGCTCCCATAAACATGTACAGCTTCAGAAACTCATCTTGCTCGTTCTTGCCTGTCCCATGGGGTCATTACGCATCAGAAACAGAAACTCACTATCAGTAAGAGAGAGAGTGTTTGAAAAGGAGGCCTGGTGGCAGACTTGTTACTTGTTACAGGTTACTTGTTGGGCTGCTAACCACAAGGTCAGCAGTTTGTAACCACCAGCCTCCATAAAGAGTTTCGATCTCGGAACGCACAGGGACAGTTTTACCTTTGTCTGTAGGATCGCTATATGTCGGAATTTACTAGACAAAAGTGTTTGCCTTGATTATAAAGTAATTGAATGGTAGTGAGTTGGAGTTTTTTTTGGTTGATGACCCCTGTCTATTGGGAAGTGGACACACGGAGATCACAATCCCCCAAAGGTGACAAGTGGAAAATGTAACACTATTGATGTGTAAAATCACCAGGGCACACTGGTCCCAGCTGCGCTCTGAGGCACCCAGGGCTGCCCCTTCAGCCTCAGAATGAATGAGACCCAACCTGGAAGGGTGGCGGTAGCTTTCATGTCAGGCTGTATATGAAGAAGCTGTGGACCAACTCCTGTAACTACTTAGGACCTTTTATGGCTTATTGGACTTGCCGGTCCACTCTCCGCATCCCCCCACCCCCTAAACCGTCCTGCAGACCCCAAACTCTCCCGAGAACACACCCCACTCCGTGACTCACAGGGTTCTGCTCACACCCCTAATCCCTGGCCCAAGCTCTCCGAAAAAACGTGCTCGCCTCCCGCACCTGGTGGCAGAGCTCCCCGGGTGCTCCCGTCTCTGCTGGCAGTCCCCCGCCCGGCTTTCTCCTTCCTCCTCCTCTTCCTCCTCCGCCGCCCCGTGGCCTCCCCGCGCCGGCTTCC